CGGGATTCACAATCGGCCAGCGGCGTCGATGGGGATGGGCATGATGGGTATAGGTATGACTGGTCCGTTGGTTGCCGTGGCAGCGTGAGCGACATTACATATGGGTTAGGCTGGGTAGGCTTGGACCGATTGTTGCGATATTTCCTTTGTCTTTCATCTAACACGGGGTCATGTAAGAATCTGGAGATCTGGAGGAAAGATGTTATTCTTGCAGGGGATGGTTGAGCAGTGAATAGAGTCTGTAAAAGACTCCTGTAAAATTACGAGGTCAGGAGGTCAGTTAACTAGTTTCCAACAAATACTCACATCTATCATCTTTTCTCTTGGCCGCCTCGATATTCGCCTACATCACATTGTCAAACTACCCACATTCTGAGCTGAGGCAGGCGGGGTTGCTGCCAGGGAACTGTGTTGCGATTGAAGCGGCTATAGTGGGCAAGTGCTGCCCTGGCAGGCTGGTCAGAACCGCAGATGTACCGCTGTATGCTTCCATGTACCTTTCTCGCCCGCAGATAGTGCACTCGATTTTGGCCCCACTAATCCTCACCAGCTCACAAACTGCACTAACAGCCATTTTAAATCATACCAAGGGAGCCCAAACGGTACTTTGAGCTTCAATTATCGGCCTCACAACGGCAAGTAGAGCTGCAACGTCGATCCTTCCATCAGACCTCATTCCCACCTTACCTCCTCACCAACATGCCCAGTTGACCGACATCCCCGGCTCCCGGCGCAAACCTCGGGCTGATCAATGCTACCATCTCCTCGTCTCCACCCCGAATATCGAACATGTTTCGTGCGAAATCTACGAGGGTATTTCCGGATGATATTGCCATGCGAGTACGGGGTACCATCACCGGGTAATGGAACCTCAGATACAGGATTCAATCTGCAAGGAACACACGGAAATATTCCAAGAACCGGGATAATACCCAGCCAACACAATGTTACCGTCTTCTAGAGACAGAAATACATCTCGGCCACCCCTAGAGCGCTGCGGTGCCAATTGTCCTCGACACCGTCGCCTGAGAAGAATCCAGCTGCCGTCATGGTTTCGATGATGAAAATCCTTGGACTCATACCCGGAGCAGTTGCGGCGATCGGAGTCGCAGCTCAGGGGGAACAGACTTCCCAATGGCCTTTACACGACAACGGGCTCAACAAAGTCGTCGAGTGGGATCACTACAGCTACTTTGTCAATGGCGAACGGCTGTTCGTTTTTTCTGGAGAGGTAGACCACCATCTGATACACAAATCGAAATCGCTGGTTTTGACCGACGGCTAATTTTGTGATTTTCGCCTAGTTCCACTACTGGAGATACCCGGTGTAAGCATCGTTGGCATACAGGACCGGTCTTTCATCTTTCTCGGCTAACGCCCGAACACAGGCCAGAGCTATGGAGAGACTTGCTGGAGCAGATCAAAGCTGCAGGGTATGTCGAGAGAGCGGAGGCTAGGGAGAACAAATCGGAGACAGCATTCTGACCGTTGAGCCTCACAGCTTCAATACGTTTTCCATCTACAACCACTGGGGCTACCACAACCCCTCGGAGGGTGTTCTCGACTTTGACACGGGCGCACACAACTTCACCAGCATCATGACACTGGCAAAGGAGATAGGCCTGTATCTAATTATTCGTCCTGGGCCGTACGTCAACGCCGAAGCTAACGCAGGGGGATATCCTCTTTGGTTAACAACAGGCGAATACGGGAATCTGAGGACGGACGACCCCAAGTACACTGCCGCGTGGAAGCCTTACTGGAAGCGAGTGTCGGAGATTGTCAAGCCACACTTGATCACGAATGGGGGGAATGTGATTATGTTTCAGGTAAGCCCAAATGGTCTGCGGTGGTGCATGGATTACTCAAAACGAACGATTCTTAGATCGAAAACGAATTCGGCGGTCAATGGACAAACATAGCGAAAAGGACACTCGACACACCAAAGGCTAATTACATGCAGTTGCTCCAGGATACATCCAGGGAGAATGGGATTGACGTGCCCCTGAGCCACAACTCTCCTAACATGGTTTGGTGACCCTGCTCACAAAGACCGAGGCAAACACGACTGACTGCGCAACAGTTTGGATATTCCTGGTCCAAAGACTTTTCGAACGCGACTGGAAATGTGGATGTCGTCGGCGTAGACAGCTATCCTTCGTGCTGGAGCTGTAATTTGAGCGAGTGCACGGGGACAAACGGGGAATATGTAGCCTATGTGAGCTCACAGTCTCGCGAACTGCTATGCGCCATGACTAGCTGACATTGGTTTCCATGTAGCAAGTTGCAGAGTATTATACGTGAGTGGCTATTTGAACTTGGGCAACCAATGCTTTTGGCTGACCCTCATCACAGATACTTTACGAAGCAGTCCCCGTAAGCGCAAACCCGGCCATCTTGACCACTTGTCTCTAATGCGATACTAGAACCCAGCCCAACTTCATGCCCGAGTTCCAAGGGGGATCCTACAACCCATGGGGAGGTCCCGAAGGAGGCTGCCCAGGGGACATCGGCCCAGACTTTGCCAACATGTTCTACCGAAATCTCATTTACCAACGGGTAACCGCGATATCGCTCTACATGGTCTTTGGCGGGACAAACTGGGGGTGGCTTGCGGCGCCAGTCGTAGCAACAAGCTACGACTACTCGTCGCCAATATCAGAAACCAGGGCCATTGGGAACAAATACTACGAGACCAAACTGCTGACGCTGTTCACTCGAGCGGCAAAAGACCTCGCTAAGACAGACCGGGTTGGGAATGGGACTGGATACACGGATAATCCAGCCATCACAACAGCTGAGCTCCGCAATCCTGATACGAATAGCGCATTCTATGTTACCATGCATGCGCACTCGCCTTCTGACACTTTGGAGCTGTTTACTCTGAAGGTCAACACATCCGAGGGGCCTCGTACGTACTGCCTCGCATACCTAATGTCCTTAAGAAGCTTCGACTGACCAATGTGGCTCCATAGTAACGATCCCGCAGTATGGCAGCAAGATCGCCATCAACGGCCATCAGTCCAAGATCATCGTGACCGATTACAAGTTGCAAGGCAACAGGACCCTCCTTTACTCGACCGCAGAAATTCTCACCCACGCAGTGATGGACGGAAAAGACGTCATTGTAATGTGGGTGCCAAGGGAAGAAACGGGCGAGTTTACTGTCACCAACACGGGTGGATTGGCTTTCGGAATAGGGTCTCCGCTCGAGACGCAGCTTCCCCCTGCGACAGTAAAGAGATGGCGTGGAGTAAACAACGCAACGGTGGCTTGGACGCCAACTGGTCCCGGAATGACCGTCGCTTATCTCGGAGATGGGACGAGGTTCATCCTGATTGACCGGGAAACGGCGTACCGTACATGGGCTCCGACAATCGGCAACAACCCGCTTGCGCCGCTTAATGAGACTGGTACACGGCTTGCCAATTTCCCAAGTATCTTGGAGAATATCTGAGCTAACAGTTTGTCCAAAAGTTATCGTCCAGGGACCCTACCTCGTCCGTAGCGCCGCAATCAACTACGAGAACAAAACGATAATGCTCACGGGAGACATTGAGACAGGCGGACGGATGCTGGTCGTTGCTCCCAAAGGAATCCAGAGCGTACTGTGGAATGGAAGATCAGCGACGAGGTTCTATAGCGACTTCCAGATTATGGACACATTCGTCGAGAGTTCTGCGAAGCCCTCCGAGTTCAAGCTCCCTGCTCTCGGGCCCTGGAAGCACCACGACACTTTGCCCGAGATAGGAGCAGACTACGTTGTCTCCAACGAGACGTGGGTTTGTACGTCACACCATTCTCTCATCAATCAGCCTTGCTAACCGTTTGCCGTCTCTATCCACAGCTGCGACCAAAACGACCACCCCCAACAGGATCAAGCCCGCGCCGAACAACCCTGTCCTATTTGTAGACGAATACGCGATCCACGTGGGTAATCACATCTTTCGCGCATCATTTCCGACAAGCTCTACCCCGCCTGCCGGCATATTCCTCGACTTGACAGGCGGAAACGCCTTTGGCTACTCGGTCTGGCTCAACTCCAAGTATCTAGGGTCCTACCTCGGCCTGTCATACTCTGGCTCGGGAGCATCGACCTTTTTGTTTCCCAACGCGACTCTCCACCCGACAAACTCGAGCCAAGAGAACGTCCTGGTCGTCGTGATGGATAACTCTGGGCATGAGCTACGAGAAGGGGCGACTGACCCAAGGGGCATATACAATGCTACATTGCTGGGTCCGTCTGGAAAAGGGTATAGATTCTCGAGCTGGAAGATTGCCGGCACGGCTGGAAGCGCCCTTGGTACCCGGAACCTTGACCCTATCCGCGGGCCACTCAACGAGGGCGGGTTATATGCTGAGCGCGTGGGGATGCATTTACCTGGTTATCCAGATGATAGGCCGGGCTGGGCTACGTTGGACAGTGCCGCCGGGTCGACGACGACCAAACTGGTGGTTTCTAGCCCTGGTATTCGCGTGTTTAGAACAGTCGTCCCGCTCCATGTGCCGAGTGAGCTGGACGTGTCCATCTCGTTCAGGTTCTCGGTCGACAAGGCTGTCAGTGGAGGCGACCAGGTCAGGGTCTTGTTGTTCGTCAATGGGTACCAGTATGGGCGGTATAACCCGCACATTGGGAATCAAGTGACATTTCCTGTTCCGCCGGGGATTTTGAACTATGACGGGGAGAACACGGTTGTTGTTACGGTTTGGAATCAGAGAGAAAAAGAAGGCGATGCTGTCGAGGTTGGTGTCGATTGGGCAGTGGAGTACGCCCATGAGACCAGGGGGAGTGGATATGATGTCAAGACGATTGGAAAGGGGTTGAGGAGTGGCTGGACAAAGGAGCGGGAGAGGTTCGCCTAATGTTGAGTGTCGGTGCTATGTGAGCCTTTGCAGGCCGCAGCTTTTGAACTTCTATGTGGACTGTTGGGACTCGGATCATGAATGTTAAGTGTTAAAAAAAAGGAATAAAAGAAAGAAAGAAAGAATGCAAAAAAGTGGGGCCTGACCGGGGATTGAACCCGGGACCTCTCGCATATTCCTAAACCGGTTCAGAACCCAAAGCGAGAATCATACCTCTAGACCATCAGGCCGCTTTTCACTATTGTGTGGATTAGTTGTGGAAAACGGTTCCAACTTACCCTTTATCTATTGGATTTACTGGTTCCACCACTGGCAGCGGCTCCACAGATTTCCTCATCGGTCAAGCTACGACATACGGGCACCAGTCTTCTTATATACTATGACTACTCTTGTAAAATAGATGCCTTGATTATCTGGAATAAATGCCTTGACTAGCTGTAAGAAATCCCTTGACTGGACTGGAATAAATGGCTTAACTGGCTGGAATAAATGCTCTAAATAGTTGGAATAAATGCCTTGGATAGACTAGAATAAATGGCTTAGCTGGGTGGAATAAATGCCCCGACTGGCTCGAGTAAATGCCTCTGGTCTGGAAAGTCAAAGTGGACCGGTGCCTGCCTGTATATTAGGCGCCTCAAAATAAGCCATCAAGTTTGGCCTCTTCCCTCGCCCCGTTTACGCTCCACCGCCAACATGACAGTCTGCTTCTCTTCCTTTCGTTCACGATACACCCTCTCCCGATGGCCTTTTTCGTCCTCCTCCTCTTCGGCCAAAAGCTCATCGACCCAGTCCAACAGAGTCGTCATATCCAATCTGCGCCTAAAATCAGGTGAGGCCTCCATCAAGTCCATCTTTTTGACTATTCCCCGCCCGTCTACCAGCAACGTGCTGGGAACTGATAATACCAGCTCTACCATTTCATCGTCTTGGTCCTCGTAATTCCACAAGGGTAACCCTAGTTCAGCCCCAACCCAGCTCTCAAAGCCGGCTGATAAAGTATGTCGTTTTATCCTCAGGGTAGATGCCAATCCGAGAGATTGAGCGACTCGGTTTCCCGTGTCTGACAGGGGCGGAAAATATACCCTGCTGTGTTCGGCTGTCTTGGCCAGATGGGCGGGAGGCTCGGGTGATATGCCGACTATTGCCGCGCCCCGTGCGTCGAACTCGTCGAGGTGCGATTGTAAGGATGCGAGGACGAGAGAGTCGAAGGGACACCAGCCGCCGTGGTAGAATGTTAGGAGGGCGGGGGAGCCGTGGCCTACTAGGGTGTTTATTTGGACGGGGGTATTGGTCACGTCTGGGACTGTGAAATTCGGGAGGGGGTCGCCTGGTTGGATTGTTCTTTTCTTCCTGTTGCTGGAGGAATTTGACAAGGTTGAAGCGATTTCTGTTATGGTGTTGAGGATTTCGGGCGGTGTGGAGTGGGTGTAGAGTCTTGAGAGGGCTTTTACTTGGGCTGCTATGGATGGGGTGTTGTCCGAGTCCATCTTGTGGTGGTGGTGTGAGGCTAGTTTCTTGCAAGTCTTGTGGTGGTGGTGTTGTGGAGGATGGAGAGCATGTGAATGTGCAAAGACCTCGTTCATGGTCATGGGCGTAGGTAGAGACTAGAGACAACAGGTAGAGACTGAGATGGATTCAAGGTGATAAAACCCTATAGTACGTAGTGGAAGTCAGAAGCTAAAGATTAACTGCTTGATGTTGGCTATGAGGTTCATCCTTGGTCCCATTTTGTTCGTTTCGTCTAGTTATGTACGTCGAGCTCATGACGCCAAGTAATCGTTTACACGACACTGCCTTTGTCCAGCTACCTGTGCTTCAGCGCCAGTACACGCGGAAAACATGAATGCACGAGAACACGGGCATGTTTCCCAGTTCTCATAACTCATCCGGGATGACGGAGCTGTTGCCCAGTTTCAACCACTTGCCCGAAGCTCGTCATGGAGAATAATTTCACAGTCGTTATCTTTTCTTTGTCGAGTAATCTCAAGCTCCGGGCATCATCGAGATGGGTGGTGCTTCTTCTTTGACACTGCGTGCACAGAGCTTCGGGTGTGGATATCATGGCGGGCTGAGAACAAAGGAATATGGAAGCTGCCAGAATGCTGGCTTGCTTCCCGCCCACATGGCCAACATGGATTGGCAAACTATGAGCAAGTCCAGGCACTGAAGGGTATAGCAGATTTGTTGGCTTACTTTTTTATGTCTTGGCCAAGGAAAATGACCTGGTTGACAGCAAGCCACACCTTGAGATGGAAATGGTGTGAGTACCTCAGGCCTTATGGACAGCCGCAACTTAGGAAGGTGACTAACAACAGACCATACAGGCAAAATGTTGGAAGGATAAACTCGATATATTGGCGATATTTCATTGGTGTCATTTATTGACCAGTTCCGTGTCACGAACCGTCTTCACCAGCAAAGTCCCCGAAAAGGGGGTTTGTTTGCTCTAAATATAGGTATTACAGGCTCATATGGCAATATCGAGCATGCAAACTCGGCACCTATTTCCTTGACCTCTTTCATATCCACGACACCATGATCGTAAGGAAACAAATATGACTTGCATCTGTCAGACGCAGACAAAAGCTTGTTACACAGAGATCACCAAGCACATGATGGCATCGTGCAGCACACTGTTGATTCCAGCGTGCACGTGTACTCCGGACCTCCGACAGTATAGGGGTCCTGGGGTAGCGACGCCGCTCATAACTCCAGCAGATATAGACACGATGAAAACAGGTTATAACTGCGAGCCCCCACAACATCACACCATCTTCCCGTTCGTCCTGGACAGGCTGAATGCCCCGTCGTTATTTCGTACCGTCCTCAGCGATCCCCGCGATTAATCTAGACACGCTCTTTTGCACGCAATAACGATGACCCGGTTATTGGGAAGCCGGTTTGGCAGTTTGGCTGTCGTGATCAGATGCCCTCTTTTACGGACCATGTAATATGTATCTTATATGAGCTCATGTCTCCTTTCTCTACGAGGCACTTGAAAGAAAGACCGCGATGGTCAAAAACTCTTGCAGGGGCAAACCGACTCCACCAGCCTGCAATGACGGCCTCTTTCCGATTCACATGGGCGGCGCTGACCACTCTCCTGCTTGGTGTCTATGCCCAGGACCAACCGCAATGCAGCTGCTTCGGACTTGACTATACCAACGGGGGTTCATACCTGGTTGACGGCAACTCTGACAGCAACTTTGCTTTTACATCTGTCTTTACAGGTACGCTTTCATGTCCCCAGGAATGTCTATCGTATTAGTTTAACTAGGTTGACATATTTCAAGGATGCATCGACTCATCCATTATTCCAATCTTGGTCTCGCCGGATGGCATTGCATATGAATGCACCTCCATTGAGACTCAGCCAGACAACACGGATCAAGCATCACAATGGTGAGTGGTACCAACACTGGACGAAAACTGCTCTGCAGACTAACATACCAAAGCGCGATTACATACGCCGAGATGCGCTCCGGTGCTTGGACTATCATCATCCAATCTCAGGACTTTGACTTTACTGTCCAACGACAGTTCAGCCTGACAGTCGGAGCTTCAAATACCCTCACGGTTACTGAAACCCCAACCATTACCGAAGGAGTGACCAGCACTCTCGAGCCTGAAAGTAAGCACCATCAGTTCTCCCTAGCCTTATAACAAGAATTTAATACTGACCTCAACCCAGCGGTGACCGACTGGATCGTCGAGACCGAGACGCAGTACGAGGAGCCCGAGATCGTGACGGAAGACTGCTACGAAGACACCCAAACCGTGTACCAATACATCCCCGGCCCGACAACCCACATCGTCTCAACAAATGCTCGATGGTCCACTTTAGGATCCGTGACAGAGTACTACGTCACCATCGTAACGCAATACCCCTATTGCCACTGGCCATCTTCCCAAGCCCCTGACCGTCCCCCTCCAACTTCTCAAGGTGGAGGCAACTGTCGCGCCACGAGCTGCAGACCATGGTACACGACCGGACGAGGCTGGACGTGGAATCCCGCACCTACGACAACCACTACCCGTCGGCGCACCACGACCGTCGCACCGCCAACTACCCGAACCACCAAGCGACCGCCCGTTCAAACAGTCATCACGGTCCTCCCGCCGAGAACAAGCTCCACCCAGCGTGTGACGACTCGTCCAAGCATCACGACCATAACAAGGACCAGACAACCTACCACTGTGCGAACAACACCAACGACGCGACAGCCTGATATTCCTGTTTCGACTAGGAGGCCGGATATTAGTACAAGGGTAACTACCCTGCGCACGACGAGGAGGCTGCCTACTGCTACGCCCACGCCTGGGATTACGACTATCACAAGGGTCTCGACCAGACGACCGACTACTACAAGACGACAGACGACGCCCCCGGGATTTAGCGTTATTACCAGTACGAGAAGAGGTGGTGGCGGTGGCGGTGGCGGACAACAGCCGACCTCAACCTCTAGAGTGGTGATTACCATTCGTCCTACTACCGAACCTACACGGGGAGGCGGAGGTGGCCAGCAGCCAACCACAAGGAGAAGTACGTCCCGGCAAGGCGGAGGCGGAGGAGGCGGACAACAGCCTACGACGACACGAGTGGTGATTACCGTTCGTCCGACCACGGAACCGACTCGTGGTGGTGGCGGTGGTGGAGGTGGTCAGCAGCCCACTACAAGGAGGACAACTTCTCGTGCTGGAGGAGGCGGAGGTCAAACACAGATTACTACTAAGATTGTGACGCTTCGTCCTAGTACTTCCCGTGGTGGTGGTGGTGGTGGTGGACAGCAACCTACTACTCGTCAAGGGGGCGGGGGAGGACAACAACCAACAAGCCGTCAAGGGGGTGGTGGCCAGCAGCCTACAACTCGAGGAGGACAGCAACCAACAAGTCGCCAAGGGGGAGGTGGCCAGCAGCCAACAAGCCGTCAAGGAGGTGGCGGCGGCGGTCAACAACCCACTAGTCGCCAAGGCGGAGGAGGGGGGCAGCAGCCAACTTCTCGTGGTGGTGGTAATGCTGGAGGAGGAGGCGGCGGACAACAGCCAACATCAAAAAGAGGCGGCCGGCCAAACGAAGACGAAGCGCCCGTGACAGTAGCTGGCGGTGAGTCGCACGGCTTTCTTCCTAGTCACCTATCACTAACGTATTCTGCTTCCATTATCAGAAAGACGCGCCGCTGCCGCCGCGGCAGATTATACACAGACCATCACCGAGACGACGTACACAGTC